GGAGTGCAGGGGCACAATCTCAGCTCACTGCAACCTCGACCTTCCAGTTTCAAGTGATTCTCCTGCCTCAGCCTCCTGACTAGCTGGGATTACAGGCACTCACCACCATGCCTGGCTAATTTTTGTATTTTTAGTAGAGACGGGGTTTCACCATGTTGGCCAGGCTGGTCTCAAACTCCTGACCTTGTGACCCACCCACCTCAGCCTCCCAAAGTGCTGGGATTACAGACATGAGCCACCAGGATTGGTGACAAGTTTTTCTTACATTAAACCATCTTTGCATTCCTGGGATAGACTTTGGTTATGGAAGGTGTATTACTCAGAGTTCTCCAGAGAGACAGAACCAACAGAATACATATCCATAGATATAGAAGATGAGATTTCATATAGTTTGGATGTTACCTCATGCTGAATTATAATCCCTAAATTTGAAGGTGGGGCCTGGTGGGAGGTGTTTGGGTCATGGCAGTAGATCACTCATGGCTTGGTGCTGTCCTCAAGATAGTGAGTGAGTTCTTGTGGTATCTGGTTGTTTAAAAGTATGTGGCATCTCCTCTCTAACTCTCTATCTTACTCCTTCTTTTGCAGTGTGATATACTGGGAACCCCTTTGCCTTCCACCATGAGTTAAAGCTCCCTGAGGTTCCCCAAGAAGCCAAGCAGATGTCAGGACCATGTTTCCTATATAGCTTACAGAACCATGAGCCAATTAAACCTTTTTTAAAAAAAATAAATTACCCAGTCTCCAGTATTCCTTTATAGCAGCACAAGAATGGCTAACACAAGATTTGTTAGGGGAATTGGCTCATGTGGTTATGGAGGCTGAGAAGTCCTAATATAGTTCATCTGCAAGTGAAAGAAACAGGGAAGTTGATAGTGTGACTCAGTCCAAGCCCAAAGGCTTCACAACCAGGGAAGCCAATGATGTAACTCTCATTCTGAGGGTAACAGCCTGAGAACCTTGGGGGACTGCTAATGCAAGTCCTAGAATCCAAAGGTCATAGAACCTGAAGTTCTGATGTCCAAGGTTAGTTGAAGAAGAGTGTCCCAGCTATAGAATACAGTGAATGAATTTGCCTTTCCTCTGCCTTTTTGTTCTATCTGAACCCTCAATGGGTTGGATGGTGTCTGCCCAGATTGGATGAGGGCAGATCTTTCTTACTCAGCCCATTGATTCAAATGCCAGTCCCTTGCAGAAGCATTTCCACAGACATACCCAGAAATAATGTTTTACAAGCTATGTGGCTATTCCTTAACTCAGTCAATTTGACACTTAAAGTGAACCATCACAGTGAGTCAGTCTTTTTATATACAACATTAATGCTTTTTTCCATAGTATTATTGTGGTTTATTCTGTATTCATACCTGATATTAGTCAACTGTGTGTGTTTTGCTTACTTAGGTCTGGTAACTGAGTTAACCTGATATTGTAAATGGTCAGGTAATAAAAACTCAGCTCACATTAGCTGAAGTGAAAGGGAGTTTTCTTCACTTATATTGCTAGAAAAGATACTGGACTATCTGAGAAAACTGAAGGAAAAGTTGAAGGAATCAGGTCGCAGGAATTGCAAGTAGTAACCTGTGAACCCCAGAACTTTCTCTCATTCTCTCTCTCTCTCTCCCTCCAGCTGTCACTTGTATTTTGTATTAGGATAGACAGGCTCTCTCTGTGTGACAGAAAACATGGCTAACAACAGACCAGCTGAAACAAATCCAGAGTAAAGAAGATCTTTTTTCCCAGCAATGTATGTGGGAGATGCCTCATCTAAGGTCATGTCCCTTTCCAGGGTGACCCACATTCAAAGACTAATTGATGTGGAAATAAAATCTTTGAATTGTGTCATCCCAACTAAGGGCTGCTGTAGCCTCAGAGTTTCTGTAGGCCCTGCTGAGAATGTTTGGGGGCCTGTATGACAAGTCAACATCTTCCTCTTCCTGCTCCTGTTTCTCCTGTCTCCCTTTCAGAGAAATTCATCCCTAGCACACTTCTTAACAAACATCCTTCCTGCTAAACGCCATATTTATTTTATTTGAGACAAGGTCTCTGTCTGTCACCCAAGCTGGAGTGCAGTGGAATGATCACAGCTCACTGCAGCCTTGATCTCCCAAGTTCAAGCAATCCTGTCACTTCAACCTCCTGAGTAGCTGGGACCCTAGGCACGTGCCACCATGCCCACTTAATATTTTTATTTTTTGCAGAAATGGGGTCTCACTTTGTTGCCCAGGTTGGTCTCGAACACCTGAGCTCCAGTGATCCTCCTGCCTCGGCCTCCCAAAGTGCTGGGTTTATGGGTATGAGCCCCTGCACCTGGCCTAAACATCATGTATGTTAGACTCTGTTTCCTAGAGAAAGCAGTGAGAATCCTGTGATACTTAGGATGAAATAGTGTTCTGGGAAGACTAAACATCTGTAGCTGTTAGCAGTGGTGAATCTGCGTGGGTCTGCAGCAACCTCAATTCTTGCCTCTTCAGAAGAAAGAATTCAACTGAGGAGACATAAGGCAGAGAGATAGAGGCAAGTTTTAGAGCAAGAGGGAAAGTTTATTAAAAAGTTTTAGAGCAGAAACAAAAGGAAGTGACACACACTTGCAAGAGGGCTGAGCAGGTAACTTGAGATATTCAAGTGTGCTGTTTTGATCTTTGACTTGGGGCTTTATATGTTGGCATTCTGCATGTGCACTGGCCTTGCAAGCACTTGGGAGAAGCCACATTTGCAGTGTGTCTACTGAAGTTGTACGTATGCTGACTTGAGGCATTTTTTCCTTACCAGTTGAGCATCCCCAGAAGAAGGTCATATAGCAGTTAAACTGCCATTTTGCCTCTTAGTTAAGATGCTTGAGCCCACTCGCCCAACTCCTGAGATTTTATCAGGAAGCTGATGATAACCAGTTTAAGGTGTTTTCTGTCTATTGTCTCAGGTGCCTTTCCCTGGTTCTTGCTGCAACCAACTATTAGTTTAGAGAGACAGTTTAACAACTGCCTGACCGTCACCTACCTGATGGTTGCCTGACATTTCTGGTGGTGAAGGGGGGCCTCTCCTGCCCTGCTTATGTCTGCCTAACTACCTACTCATATAACTACTATAGTCATCTTAATTTCATCTGATACTATTATATCTAGTATTTTTTCTACTTATTCTTACATGGGGTTTATCTATAGTATTCTTATTAGTAGGGGTAGGAGGATTCTTATCCAGTTTTGTATCAGTGTTGTTATCTTTATAAGGTTAAATGGAATGAGGTTATTTTTTTTTCTGTTTTTACAATGCTGTAGCGTGGATTATTGTAACACACGTATTTTCTATTTTTTAAATTTTAGGGAAAGATTTCCTGTAAAACCAAATGGGCCCAGAAACTTTTTTAAAGGTCATTTTTTTAATAAAGGGGGAAAACAATTGCCATGTTGTTAGATGACTGTGCCTAAGTTGAACGCAGTGCTGCATTTATGCACTTGGGCTGAATGAAGGCAGCAGACTTATTTAATGCCCCCATCCCTTTTGTTTTTACTGCTCCAGTCCATACATGCTGTTTTGATTTTGCTTCAGAAGGTAAAATATGGGTATTCCAGGATATATTTCTCTGACCAATGCCATCAAAGCTATAGTTAATAAAAATATTCCCCTTTCTGTAACATATAGCCTTGTATTTTTCCCCTCGAAGAATGGTTTTAGTCTCTCCCTCTCTTCTTGCATTTTCATGTACATTTTCATTGAACAATGAGAGAGAATTTCTCAGGAACTATTAGCATCCCACCAAATTGACACAGAAACCCTCATGTCTTTCTTTAAACAGAAAGAACTTCACACTAGCCTATGTTATAATTTCTCCTGCTGTCCTCACTCAAAGAACAGCTCTTGCACACTCACCCTCCACCCCCAACACCAGAGCACTGAAAGCGTTCCCTTGATTGCATTAACTGTGGATAACAACGCATACTATTAGCACTTCTGTCGTGTTTGATAAATGTGATCAGATTCAACTTGGGGCAATACGATACTGGGGAATTCTTAAGGTAGAATTTCCCTCTTGGATTCCACAGTTGTCTTGAGGAGTGGTGAAATGATAAGGTGCTTCTCCAAGGAAACTCCCTGACAACTCTTGTTTTCTAAAGAAAAGCAGAAAAAAAGGTGAGGAGAAAGGGAGAGAAGAGAGTAAATTTAAATTCAGTCTTCTTTTACTTCCATTCATTCAGTTGGTCATATGCATTGTTTAGCTGCAGGATTCCCTATGTGTTTATTCTCCAAGCGGTATAAACAATGCTTTCTAAATCTGGCAATATGATTGTACACCAGAATAAACCCCAATTTTCCTAAACAGAAGTATTTTTATACTTAATAGAGAACTTAATTCAAAATATAGGGTACTTGGTTCTGGTAACTGAAATTTTGGAGTGACCAAAACTTTTTTAGTGCAGCCTTGACAAAAGCTGTGCTAAACTAGAATAACTGCTCAGGCAGAAGAGAAATAAAAGGTAATTATATTCGTTCCTTTATCTTAACTGAATCAGCATGTTGCGAGTAACTTTTCATGTGAGCTGGTTTAGGTTTTGTTTTGACCCCAAATAATAATTACTGGTCCTGAATACATAAGAATGTATGCCCACTACATATTTCTTTTTTGATTTTTTGTTTTTTTCTGTCCTAGACTACTTTCATGACAGGTTAGGGGTTGATGAACATATATTTATCTATGAGATTCAATTCAAATAAACATTTTGATCCCTGAAAGCTTCAACAAAATTATCTCTTTTCTTTGCTTACAGACCATAGTGCTAGAAAAGAGATAATGTTAAACTTTAACGTGCACATTACTCACTTAGGAATCTTATTAAAATCCAGATTCTAACTCAGTATGTGTGGAATGAGGTCTGAGATTCTGCATTATTAATAAACTCCTGAGTGATGCTAACACTGTTGGCCCATGAGTCACACTCTAACTAGATCACAAAAACCCATCCCTTCCAGTCCTAGGCCTACCACTAACTGGCTGTGTTAGTGATATTGCCAAGCATCTTAGGAACCTGCATTTCCTCTTTCACAAGGGAAAGTTATTTGCCTACCCACGTGTATGAATGCTCTTAAAGAAAATCTAACCATGGAGATTCTAAGGTATCAAAGGGTAAATCACAGATAGTATCTTCATTTTAAAAGGATTTCTTTAAATAGAAGCTTAGAATTTACAAGTATTTTTGATAAATCATTCTACTTAATTCAATAAATGTTTATTGGTCTTCTTTTAGGTGAAGTGTTTTCTCAAGTTACCTTCCGGCAATTCCAAAATAGTGACAACGTCCCTGCCCTATGGAAGTTTGTACCTTGCAAGGTATTTAGTAGCACAGAATAAAATTTATTGTCTAATATCTCCGAAAGAATTTCATGTGGGAATGAAAAATGTGAGATTCTATTGGAATATTTACGGAAAACCTTAGGAGCTTCTTATTTTGTTTCCAGTGCGTGGACTAAAAGGAAATTAGGATACTGTGTGAGCTGTGCTTGGAAATTTGGGGGCACTTGGGATGGTGGAGGCCCAGCAATGGGAAAGTAAAGGAAGGTTCAGCAACTCCACTCAATATAAAGCATATATTTTAGAGTTTAGTATGAGAGAATAAGACTAAAATAGTGAGAGCCAGATTATGAAAAGTTTTGAATGGCAGGTGAAGGGTCTGTAACTAATCCGCCACATGGTGGCGATTCACTAACTGTTGCAAGCAGGTAAGTAATATATTTGAATGTGGACATTAGGCAAATTAACCTGTCTGTTGTACAGATTTTTGGGAAAGAAGACCAATAGGAAGAACCATGAGAAAGGCAGTAGTAGTTGGAAAGAAAGACAGGGGATGGTTTGAGATTCCTTTAAGATCAATTGGAAAGACTGGAAAACTGTTTTCATATAGAAAGTGGGATATTAAACAATCATAAGTCAACTGATAAGCGGGTGATGGGAAAGGTTTGAAACTTTTAAATGTTAGCCTCTATTGTTGATGGAAAGTCATTAGAAATAGTCTCTGAACATGTAGAGTAAAATCAGTATTTCTATTTTCTCTGAAACTTTATTGCGACTTGAAACAATGTAACAAAATACCAGTCTAATGCCTCATTACTGATTTTACCAGTGCTGTAATTTTTAAAATAATAAATATACACTTTATTAAAAATAAATAAATAAAAGAAATAGTCTCTGAAATAATAATAAATAAACATTTAAAGCCAATTTTGTGTGAGGCCCTGTAAGGCTTTTTGGAAACATATAAGGCCAAGCCCATTCCTCTAGGAACTGATAATTGAGTAGGTCAAATAGAAGTCAATGATCAAAGACTGCTTACTTTCTCTCTACTTTCAAACCATTATCACAAGTCAGTTATGTTAACCATTTATGTTTTAGAGTAAAATCTACCAATTATTTTCTTTGTAAAATCTACAAAATACTTCTTTCCTTCTGTTATTTTAATCATGGAATTTGAGAACTGGGAAGAATTTAGACTTCCTCTAGTGCAAGTCATACATATTACAAACAAGAACATTTAGGTTCTAACCAGTAAATGATTTCCTTAGGGTCACACAGCTAGTTAGCGATAGAATGATTGCCGATCTAGTTGAGAATTATCCACCATAACACTTTTAACATGGCTCATTACTAACAGAATTTTAGATAGTTGGTCCAAAGCACTTTTTAAAAATCAAAATAACTTTGAAGTTACATACTTTCTAAAGATCAGAAACTCTCAGATCAGTGACACTTGATTTACTTCGAAACCTGGGTGTTTGTTTTTTCCACACAAACAAACAAGTGGGGGAGGGGTGCAGCAAAACAACCCTGTTTTTCAGCAGTCCTAGGAAACTATCACCAATACCCCTCATCTGCTACTTTCTAAAATTATACTCTGGGGTGTAAATTCCTGCTATTTAACCAGTTGGCATAGGGAGTCTTTTATTTTTCCTAAAATGTAGATACCGTTTTGTCCAAAATACTCAAAATCCATTCAGCCATAAAAGCTCCATTTTGCTGTTTGACATCATAGAGCATTTATTTGTCTTTTCACTAAGCATCAAGGATGGCTAACAGCACAGATCATTTGCCAATCATCTTGTCTTTGTGCCATATTTATTAGTCCTTTGTGACACTATCTCCATCTACTGATACTCTTGTCCCCAAATCCTCTTTCCATTTTCTTGTGTGACACACAAACTGATGATGGGCAGTCTTCAGCTGAAACACTGTGACCCTCCCCCTGTTTCACAGGTCCCCTTTCCCCCACTTCCCTGCTGGCACAGAGCAGGCTCAGCATCAGGAGTCTGCTTCTGATGCCACACGCTTTCTGAAATGGTTATGTCAGCATGGTTTTCCTAGGAGATGGCAACGCTACAACTCTCCACCTTACCTATTTCAGCCAGTGCCAGGATTTTATTTTCCACTGCTTTATTAAAAAACAACATACTGTGCCATTTTGGGTGCTTCTAAAAGTGGGCCTACCCTCAATGGCTCATTAACATCATTTCTCAGTTCGACTTCATCCGCTAGTCTCTGCAGTGGTTTGACATCAGTTACATTTCTATCTTAATTCTGACCCAATAAAAGTCATCTCTTCCCAGCTTATCTTTATCTTCTCTCAAGTGTGAATATAAGATTTACCAGTTATTAAGCTGTTTATTTTTTTAAAGGTATCTAGCTTTGTGTCAGTGTTGATTTCACTATTTGCAAACTGACTTTGTCATTTTATTGATAGCACTTGAGTGAAGAGCTCCCTGTTAATATATGCAAACTCACAGCTCCCAACAAGCTTTCCAGCCCTGTTAATGAGAGGATTAGCAAGAGCACTGCAATGTATTTAACCTGCGGCACTAGCTCTGTTTCAATAAGACTTCAACAGCCTATTAAATGGAGTGGGGGCTCAATTAACCCACACAAAGGCCACTCTACCCAACGTGGCAGGGAGGACCACATTTAGCATCTGCCTAAGCAGCTTGTTGGAAGCTGGAAATAAAGGGGGTGACATGTTCTTGCCTGGAGCTATGATATAACTGAAATGGTGATTCTAGTTCATCTGGGCTGACTGAATAGGTGACAGCATTGAAACCCACTATCTCGCCATATGACAGTTTTTTGAAAAATCAGAGTATACTCAACGGTCACTCCACCCCCCCATGCCTTCTTCTAATGGAGCACCCTCATTGTTCCTGGTGCAGTCAGTAGGAGTCATGGATCATGGATTTGAGGATGGAGGGTGTCAGGGTGTGACAATTTGTGTATGGGGAGGAGGGATGATGGTGTACACCAAGATGTCCCAGGAAATGCATTATGTTCAGACAGCATTTCCTCATGAAATTAGAAGTTAGAACTGGCTCCTCATGTCTCATAAGCATGCTTCACCAAACAGCCAACCAAAGGCCAGCCATTTTGTGCTGGAAATCAAAGTATAAGCAATGGCAACTCATTGAGCTGGATACTTCTACATCTTCACTTGAAGCTTGTTAGGATTATTGAGTTTTGTGGCTTATAGTGTCACCTACCTGTCAGAAAATCCAAACAAATGGTTCCAACATTTCAAGTTGAAAATGAAAGTTGACTAAGTAGACTACTATTTGCTTGCCCAGGAGGGCATGAATCAACTATAGTGGTAAACTGAAATCTCCTCTAATTTTCCACCTGTGAATTCTCCATGTCATAAAGTCAAAGATTTTTTTGGGATCAAGAGATATGCTGGTTGATGTTTCCTCTCCAATTTTCCAGTCTCTTTTTAACAACATCTTCTCTTGAAACTCAGCCATACCCAAATATTATTATAGATTGACTATTTAACTTTCTGTGTTTATTTTTAAATTTATCATTGTTTTTATTTTTTCCCATTGTATGCTGTATCTAGGTATTAATGAAACTTCCTATTAATGTGCCTTACTTTTTTCTCCCATTGCTTGTCACCTCCAAACATACTATATTATATACTTACTTATATGTTCATTGTGTATTGTCTTATCTCCTTGCTACAATTCACATTTAACAAAGGCTGGGGTTTGGTTTTGTTTATAGATGTAATTCAAGCATCTAGAAATCTGTAGTCTAGAATATAGGAATTTAACATTTGTGGAATACATTAATGTAAAGAAGCAGCACAGGTTATGTTCTAATTATGGAATCATAACCGATGGTTCATTAGACAAAACTGCCATATAAGAATAGCCCGTTCCACCCTTACAAAATAAAAAAAAGCTCTAAATTCTAGGTTGACAGGCCAGGTGAAGTCATCAGAGTGAATGTATATGATGGTGCACCATTTCCTTACAACGGAGTGGTGATGGCCTGGGTGGAGGATAATTTCTTAAATTTGGTGGAACCACACAGTGTTGTGAAGTGGGCTGTATGCTTATTAGATCTGAACCCTTTCACTTACTTATTCTGGGATATGCTAAAGGCACAGGTTTATTTAGAGAAAATTAGAGACATAAATTACTAAGGCATTGTATTCCAGATGTATACATGGGGACTGATGGAAATTCTGCATGAATGCACTACGCTCATTGCAATTTTGTACAAAGCATTAAGCTATGAATTGCTAAAAAGGAAGAACACACTGAAGACATCATACAATGCTTTTGACTATATAACTTATCGTAATGTAACATTAATAACCCATTTATTGTGGAAATTCATTTGCCTGTGTTTCCAGGCTTCAGGTTACCATAAAACTAGAGAGTGTTTTACACTCTTGATCATGAACTCTTCACATTAATAGCACTGACAGCTACAACTTCCATTTGTATATCTGGGTAACCTCACAGCTGACACAAATTTTTAATTTTTTTTTCCTTTGGATGTTCATGTAAGCAGGTGGGTACCTGTGACTGTTCCATGGAGGGGCTACTGGAAAGACAGCTCTAACTCCCAGTCTTGGATACACTTTGGGCCTCTTGATAGGTAAGAAAGAGCATTTTCTGTGGGTGTGTTCTCTAAAGACAAGAGCTATCTTCTGTTTGCCAACAAAAGAACCCTGTTCAATGTAGATCCCAGCTGTACCATTGCCTCTGAGGCACATGGATATGATAAAGAATGTATCATAAGAGAGCATGTTTTCACTTGTTAGGCTAGAAAGACATTCTCAGGTAATGAGATCAGTGGTACTCCAGGGTACATAACTATTCTCTAGTTGATTCTTCCATCAGTTGATGGGGAAAGATCAGAGAAAATCATGAAGAAAATTGTATTAATTGCGCCCCATTCTTACTCCACTGTCTGGGCACCAAGACGCTAAATGTTTGCCCCATTCTCAAAGAAACTTGTCTGTATCTCTTTAGTTCATGAAGAAGTTTGTTTGACATTTTATGTTTAAAATGTTGACTGTACAAGGAGACACAAACTAGATCAGTAAATGTTCTAATGGTATTGCTGTCTAGAACAAAGATTTCTCTAGTTAGTATCAAAGTATAACTGAAAAGATAACTTTCAGTTAATTAGTATTTCCACTAAATCTTCCATACAATGAGTTATTGTGAAATTTGACATTTGAATGAAATATCTTTAGAATAACTGGAGCAACCACCTTATTCTGACCCCAGTTGAGTCACAAGGAGACATAATAGCCTTCATCAGCAGCCTGTCTAGGGTACTGTTCATCACTTTTTTTGTCAATAAATATTTTTCCGGTTTATGAACACACCCTCCAAAGCTGTGATGTAAAATCACTGCTACTTATCTATTTTATGGAAATGATATCATGTAAGATTACTCATCTCTTTATTTACAAAACAGAAACAAAGAAACAAAATAACCCTCAAATAACCCTTAGCGATTTTTTTTTTATCCAAACCACAAGATGTTTTACAAAACTTATGGTGGTAGAAAAACTACTTAGAAAACAGAAATGAGGTAATTTAGAATCTAGATAGTGCCAGATTGTTTGAATAAATTAAATTTGTCCCCAGAAACAACACATAAACAAAATGGAATCCCCTACAAAAGCCACCGAGATGTTTAGCACAGAGTTTGAAATCATTGTTATTGATTTTGGTTATTGGTTTTTTGGGGTCCTAGCTTTAACCTGATTGGGGAATAAAAGAATGTGGAGATTTGCTGCTCAATATGGATTTATTGAAATGGGAGGAATGATACTCTATTTCATTTTATTAAGACAAGAGATGAAAATATTGAGAGCTATTTCCTGCAATAATCTTCAGTGTTGCTGATGTGTCAGGTGCTGCAGATACAAAATTAAATAAAATTTAATAACTAACATCACAGAAGTTTGAAGGTACTCAAACAATTTCAATAAAATATGATAAATGCTAATATCAAGAAATACGATCAACGATAATCTCTGTTATGTGAACATGGATTGCTCATGATTGAAACTAACAATATTTCTCAAATGGATTCTGGAACTTGGGTCTCACTCTGTGATACAGCCGTCCTTCATTTTCTGTGCTGTATTTGCCATATTGTATGGTGATAACCATCATATGAAAAGTAGATTCAAACTTGGTTGAATCTCAGTAAAATGGAAATTAAAATTCCTACTTCTTGGCTTGTTGTGCAGGTCCAACAAGATTAAAGTAGTTGCTGAGTTCAGTGCCTGGCATATGGTAGACCCTCAACAAATAATAGCTGTTGTTGATACTGTTCTTGTTATTGTGGTTATCATTAGATTCTGAGAAACTCCAGTAAGCAATGTTTTTCTGTTACCGTTGTGTTAAATTGCAGCACTTTTGACTGCCTGTGGTTCACCTACTTGCTGTTGTTTGTTCCTCTCTTCCTCTCTTTTTCTCATGCCCCTAGTGTGTTTCCATTTTACCAATGAGTAACAGGCATCTCCCCTCACATTTTTCTTCCTTCCCAAATCATTCTCCTTTCAGGAAAAAGAGTATGAGATATGAGAAATTAAGGGGTGTGGGCGTTTTCATGGGAAAGGAGATGAGAATTAAGTAGGTGAGGACTTTTAATTGATTCAGACACTCAAGGACATCACTAATAAACTTTAGGGGAGTCTAGAAACTGATGGGGGATCAATTGACTTGGTCTGAGAACAAGGTAAGGACATTTTTCTATGTTTATCAGAATACTTGAGAGAATGTATTGATATGAATATTCTGTAATATTCAGAAAGCCTAGTGTAAGTAAGAGGCAAGAGAAGCCAAGAGAGGAGGAAAACGAAGCACCAAGAGTAAAGCTTTGGCAGCAAGAGACCATTACAGAGTCAGTCCGGTGCGTGGGCATCAAAGACGACGAATTTGGAACCCAAACTGTCATTGAGCACATTTTTAAAGCTGGTTTTAGTTCTGCAGTTATTAGTAACTAGTCAAAATAAAATGACAATGCCCTGTGGCTTTAGGAGATAGTAGAAGGTTAGAGAAATTCCAGAAATATAATCAACTCTGTGGAAGATTTTGAGCATCTATTTCTTATATGTGGTCAAAATATATTTTTTCTCTTTAATTCATACTATATTTTTCCATGCTCTTTTCCTCTTTAAGAAAAATAGTTTCAATGAAGTATAATATACCCATTGAAAAGTACACAGAAATGTTCAGGTTGGGAAATTTTTACAAAGTGAACACACTCTTGCCACCAGAATTCAGATCGTGAAACTGAACATTATTAGAACCTCCCAAACATCCCTTGTACTGCCATTTAGTCATTAACACAACCTCCCTTCCTTGCTCTGCAGAATAGGTGATGATCCTAACATTTGCAGCTTAGAATAGCGTCCCTGTTTCTGTAGTTTTTTAATGGAATTATACAGTATGTACTCTTTTTAATGTCTGACTTGTTAATCTTTTTTTGTTTTTTGGTAAGGTCCCTCTACCTAAGGCTTTTAATAGTAAATAACATTTAATATAACTGTTTCTAAATAAAATATGTATGGGATTGCTATCCAATATGTTGTATATACATTTAATAAAAATTAGTAAATCTTTTATAAATTGGTTTATTCATTTATTTAATTGGCATTTCTGCCATGAGAAACAAGGAAAGGAGAGATATAATCCCCGCCCTCAAAATCTTAGCATCAATGGTGAAGACCAAAATTAATTCCAAGGATGAGCATCTTCACCACTGATGATCTCAAAATCTCAAGATTTTGAGAGCAGGATTATATCTCTCCCTTTATCCCTTAGAATAAAGGATGGCATGAGTGGGAACAAAGTGGAACGCTTTGGAACTCTTAATGCATACTTAGCTTTGGTAGAGAAGTCAATGGAGTACTTAGTGGGATATTGGGAATGATACTCTCCAAACACAGGCATTGTCTGTAAAGAATTTAAAAATAATAAATCGCAACTGAAAATGCTTTTTATTACTATCGTGCACCAACAATTTAAAACTTATCAATGATTATTCCCCACACACACATAACAAACTTTTTGAGTTTAGGTTCTAGACAATTGCTATAAATGTAATCTTCAGATTAGCACATTTTTATTGCCCTTTACTAAACAGGTAGTCTACATGGAAGTTACTCTGGAAGATTCTCAGTTTTGTGGTTGGCTTCTGACACCTGTGGACTTGACTACACGTGTTTGTTTCAGCAATGAATTCTCAATAGTTCTGAGTCATTCAAGTTTGCTTCAAGCACAGTTTGAGTCTTAAACTCCTGTGGTGGGTCCTAAATTACCAATAATAAAGATGAAGCAACATAACTCAAGTTATTTCATTTTTTCTTTATCTTTGTGATCACTTGGAGTTTTAATTTATGTTTAAATTTAAAACAGTGAACCAGGACATGAACTGCAAGATGTAGTATTTCATTTGGTAAGTACAAATTTTAGTTTATACATAAAATATCTTAAATAATGAATATCATTTGAATAACTTAAATTTGAGTATCTTTAAAATTGATGTTTCTTCTTTAATGTTAGTTAATTAACTAAGAAATGAGCAAAAACCTCCAATGTTAAATTAATGGTATGATTTCATAGTTACTGAAATTGGACATTTTGCATTTAATTTAAAAGTATTAATCCATTCTTCTTTTTTTAACTTTGGTATTTTATTTTATTCTATTCTTTTTTACTAACATGACTAGATATACAAAGTTCAATAAAATAACATTTTTTACTGTTTACATTTATTTTCTGATTATCATACATTTAATTTCATGATTATTGCTGAAAATTTTTGTGTACAGAGGGGGAGGTGTTAAAAATGATGTATCCAGGGTATTGGGTACGCTAGGTATGCCACCAAGAGAAGAAAAGTACAAGGTATTTTAGATATACAAGATGCTGTTGCTTATGGATTTAAAAAGACAGTTATTTACCTAAATGTGTTTGAGGGAGGGCTAGTTCACATCTTTCTCCAAATGAAAGTGAAAATGGAGCTTGCCTGTCATTGGGAATGCTTAGTGAGCATTAGAGTTTGGAATAAAGATGAAAGCGTTGTGCTAACACGGTGTTTGATAGGTCCACTGCAGCCTGTTCAGTTTGGGACAGAACTGACCATCTGCTTAGAGCTTTTTAAGTGTGTTTAAGCAGTCTGAGATGGTCTTTGTTGCTTTGGGTCTTTGTGTTGATGTGTATTATTATTCCAAATTGTTGGAAGCCAGTCTTGCAGGAGGTAAGGTTTTGAATTCCTGATGGTGTGTGAATTTTTGTCCCCAAGGTTTCTCTCTGGGATGAATTGATTTGCTGGCCAGAAATGAGGCTGAATTCCTCCATCAGGTTAAAGGCTGCTGACACAGGGTGTTTGGTTTAGCAGCCTGCCCCAAGCGCCTCATCTGCATACTGATAAAGCCTGCTTGCCTCCCAGCCCAAGCTTGGCAGTGGCCAGTTGCTAATGCAAGCTGTCTGGGGAACAAAGGAGAACTCAATCTAGTTTTCACCTGAATGTAAGTAGGCCAAAAGGAAAGGTTCCTCATCTTTATTAAAGTCTACTCCCTTTATTTTTAAGCGGGCAACTACCTTTAGTCACATTTCACAGACTTCTGCTGCCTCAGAGACTGAAAGAACTTCAGTTTTTCTTAATCTTCCCCTTTGCCCTAATCAGGCATCTCTTCTCCAGATTTTCTAAGACACTCTATTAATTTGCTAGGGCTGCCAAGATGAGGTACCACAGACCGGGTGACTCAATCAACAGAAACCTGTTTTCTCATGATTCTGGAGCCTAGGAGCCCACGATCAACAAGATCAAGGCATCAGCAGGGTTGGTTTCTTTTGAAGCCTCTCTTCTTGGCTTGCAGATGACCATCTTCTCTCTGTGTCTTCATTCACATGTTCCCTCTCTGTGTGCCTGCCCTAATCTCCTACTCTTATAAGGACACCAGTCATATTGGATTAGGCCCAACTATATGACCTCATTTGACCTGAAATACCTCTGTAAGGTCTCATCTCCAAATACAGTCACAGTGTGAGGCACTGGGGCTTAGGATTTCAGCATATGAAATTGGGGACAAGAAAGGGAGGGCACAAGTCATCCCATAACAGACAGGATCTTTCAGGTGTAACTTCAACCTAGGCATGACACTTCTGGTCCCAAATGATGTATTAGCCATCTTTTTTCTAGCCTTGGAAAACGTTCTGGATTGAAATAAAATATTGCCTCAAGACAGGCTAGACCTACACATACATGTCTTGGCAAGTCAGCTCTCAGTGGTATAGATGGGCATTTTTTTCTGATTTTATACTTGTGAGTACTTCATTCCAGAGCTTTCAAAGATACTTGGCTGAATTTCAAAAGAATCATCATTGGGCAAGACTAATATGCTGGGGAGAGGATTGTGAAGATATTATTATGATTATGATTATTAGTAAATCATGTCTAAGTTCTATTAATGGAATAAATAAGTGGGTAAAAATCTAGCAAGCTGGTCAATAATTTGAGGAGGATAGAATTTATTTGACATTTTCCATATAAATGGATCCAGGTATTATTTTAACCATTGTCTTGATGGGTGAAAAGTATATGGTCTCAAAGCCTGACACTAATAAGAAGTGGGGAGAAAATATCAGCTAGGACTATTTCTATATGATTCTAGCATATTTTGCTTATAACAAAGAAAGTGGGTAGCTTGGTCTGTTTCAAGACTTGGACTTTGCCAGGAGAGAATATCTACTTTTTAATCATGTTATAACCACTGTTATTATGTGGCCTAGGAGAAAGAAATGACTGATATAATACATATGGCTTTTTCTGACTTTATTTAAATACAGTAAATGTTAACTTTTAAAATATTTTCTTTGTTCCTACTGTTTTCACTTTTTTCTTTCAATATGCCTTGTTATCAAGGATAAAATGGAGCTGCATAGATGAAGAGTTAGAATGTGATGGGGAGGTATGGTCCAATGTGTAGCAAGGTAGAGTGTCACAACAGCAATGATAAAACTTAGTCTGCATTTTGAATTCATTCATTCATTCATTCACTCTACACTGGACCATGTTGCAAAGAAATCAACAAGACAGCCAGAAAGTCCTGGTCTTCCAGGAAGCCGACATTTGTAATGAATGTACTACATGGATGTGGCAGGCAATCACTAAGATAAATGATTTTTCCAAAAACAAAGTTTGAGCATAGCTTATAAAAACTGAAAACATAAATTAAAATGTAACAGAAATTTTAAATTTCTCCTTAGATTTGAAGGCTGGTACTGCTCCAACATGCTAGAGTTGAGAGTCTCTAACAGGGGAAAATCAAAACATTTTTTCCAAGTAGGATTAAGGGAATCTGTACACTGGCTATGAAATCAAAGAAAAGCTTTTACTTAATAAGTTTGAAATTACTTGTAATTTTTCCTATGATTAACTATCACAAACACCCAGGAAATTCTGCTCAGAGCTCAAGTTATATCTGAAATAGTGTGTGTCCCAATAGTTACAGACCTGACTCTTTTCCTTAAAAAAAAAAAAAAAAAAAAAAAAAAGCTCTATACCCTTGCTGTTTTCTAGGGTTACTATGTTTAGTTTAAATCAGGTGTTAGTTGTCATGCATTTTTGAGAGCCATCCATTCACTGATATAATCATCATAAATGTATCCATCCACCTGTCCATCCGTTCATCCATCTATCCATCCGATGCCTTGGCAAGTGTCTGGCCTATTTTAGGCCTTCAGCAAATATTTGTTGAGTGAATAAACAAATCCACCTAACCTTGATTGTCTACCACGTGCAACTAATAATCTGCAGGTATAGTAGCCCAGTTATACCATTGGCTTATTACATATTCACTTGCTGCTTTTGAGGAGGATTTTGTGTTGATTGTTATGATGGTGACAGGGGAAGTGTGAATATAATTTTTGTAACAAATAGCTTTCCAAACACAAAAATGTCCCAATAATATGTAACTTTTAGATATACATAGGATGAATTGTTAAGAAAACTAAGGATCAGATTCTCAGATTAACAGTTAGAAAACTCTTGCAGGCAGTATAAAGTGTGATATTCCTGTGACTTGCTAACTTAGTGTTTGTCACTTTCTCTGAAGGGAGAATACAGTGAATCAGATTCACTTGAAAAACCCCCAGAAACTTGCTGGAATCTACCTTAATGTCTCCTTAGGGAAATTAAATCCACAGGGCCAATCAGTTCTCAAAGAATTTTTCAGTCTCCCAAGGGAAGTGGAACAACCTTTGGTGGATGGTATTAGAGGGAAGAATTCTAGAGCTGGTGGATATAGGCATATACTAAAAATGTAGCGGAACAAATTTATGCTTCATTTGTGTGTCCGACCCCTGGCTCTTGGTCATACTGAAGAAGCTTAGCAGACACCAGATGCGTCATCTCAATTAACATTTTTTGTGTTTTATGGTTTGCCAATGATTTTCTTAATGTTTTCCAAATTGTTCCTTCAAACTACCTTAAGAGCAGAATGGAGTATACATAATTCCATAGCATCTAAGGAGTGGCTCTGTACATCCCAGAGCAAACCAGAAATTTGCTCTGAAATGCGTGTTTTAGTATGAAACCATGTGTATTCCTTTCTATTTAAATATAGCTCTGTGTTTGCTTTAATGTGGACAATGCTTTAAATTAATTTTGGAGTAAAATGTATTCTGAAAACAGTAATTTTCACATACCATCACCCCCCTTTACTCTTCTCTCTGAGCTGTACATTCAATACTTACACTAACCATATGAAATTAATATCACCATTATCCTCTTCTTCAGAAGAGAAGTCAAGGATCACAGAGGTCAAAGTTGATAATTACCTAAATAATACGCATTATCTCAATTAATAGCTTTATACACATTTAATTCTAACAGCCACTCATCACCACCACTTTATAAAAGAAGAAAGAACAATGTTTAGAGGTTAAATAACTTGCCTTTGTTCTCAGAGTCATAAGGAATGAGACTGGATTCGAACCCAGTTTTTCTGGCTTCAAAGAACCCACTGTTTTCATTATACCATTACTCTTTTCAAATGTTCCAAATGAATTTGACATCTTAAGCAATCTGAGTAAAGTAATAAGAGGGGAATTTTTTTAAAGGAGGGACCCTGTTATCCACTAATTCTTTTAAGGGTACCAGAAAGGAATTTTTGAAGTTGTGGATTTGCCACCTGGAACCTTTGAAAAACATAATAGGAAGTGACCTAGAGATACATGTTCCTTCTCTGTCAACCTGCTGAGGAGATAAAACATAGCTCCTTCCATTAGTCAGTCTGCAAGGGTCAATATGCACTATGTACTTAGCCACTTATGGTATACATGCAACCACAGTCTTGCTTTTGATGAACTTATAATGTTGTCATACACTTTGGTGAATACTTCTGAATTAGTCCATTTTTTTGCATTGCTATAAAGAAATATTTGAGACTGGGAAATTTATATAGAAAAGAGATTTAATTGGCTCACAGTTCTGTAGGCTGTACAGGAAGTATAGTGGCATCTTCTTCAGGGAAGGCCTCAGGAAGCTTACAATCATGCAGAAGGCATAGGGAGACCAGGCAGGTCACATGGCAAAAGCAGGAGTATCAGAGTGAGGAAGGAGGTGCTACATATTTTTAAATGACTAGACGTTACAAGAACTCACTCACTATCACGAGGACGGTACCAAGCAAGATGGTACAAAACCATTTATGAGAAATCTTCTCCCAGCATCTCATCACCTCATGTATTAGTTCATTTTTGCACTGCTGATAAAGACATATCCAAGACTGGGAAGAAACAGAGGTTTAGTTGGACTTACAGTTCCATGTGGGCTGGGGAGGCCTCAGAATCATGGCAGGAGGCAAAATGCACTTCTTATGTGGTGGCAGCAAGAGAAAATGAGAAAGATGCAAAGGTGCAAACCCCTGATAAATCCATCAGATCTTGTGAGACTTATTCACTACCACAAGAATAGTATGGGGGAAACTGCCCCCATAATTCAAATTATTTTCCATCGGGTCCCTCCCACAACATGTAGGAATTATGGTGGTACAATTCAAGATGAGATTTGGGTGGGAACACAGAGCCAAATCGAATCGCCTCCCACCAGTCCCACCTCCAACAGGGAGATTACATTGCAGTATGAGATTTGGGCAGGGACCCACATCCAAACTGTATCAACCACTATCAAGCAATATATGGTTAAGTGCCAGTAAGTAGATTAAACCTCATTACTGCAGGTATGAAGATTCGTGGAGGAGCTGTGTCACTGAAGAATGGTACAGCAGGCTTTATTTGGGAGAAGAGGATGGCAAAGCCCCCATTCCATTTTTACCCAAGACGTTGTCGTTTTTCCTTTTCAATGCTTTACTAATATGTCAGTTCTCCAAGATATTCAGATCATTTTTTCTAGTTTTTTTGGTTCTCGGTAGCACCGGAAGGAGAACGAAGTGACTAAATTGCCTAGGGCTTCCTGCAAGCCTTTCCTCCTCCTCCCATCAAACTCTGTGTGCACATCATCTCTCACCTCTCTCCCTGTATATGTGAGTGTCCTTATATATTCACCTAGAAAACATCCATTCATTTATGAAATATTTGTTAAAGACCTACCAGGTGCTGGGTATGATAGTGAACAATATAGAAGTGACTACAGCCTTTAGGTGGAGATAAGAGGTAGAACAGAGTAGAAGGACCAGAGAGAGGAGATAATTATAAATGCACATATTTTCTATATTCACCTTTCTTTCTGCTATTCACCTTCTTAAAATAACTATGCCTTCATATAGTGAGAGAACGGGAGCTGAGAGGAGGATGTGGTCATAATTCTGTGTCTTTAAGACTCATACCTTCCTGAAATAATCTTTCCAGACTCTAGCCTGAATAACATGATTTGAAACAAACTTACGCGGTGGGATGGCTCTTTCTGAATCAAACAGTCCACTTTTGGCAAGTCTTACTGACAGCTGAGAAGCAGTTGTTGGATTGCTTGTTAGCCCTAGCAATTAAATAACAATCACTTTAAAAACAGTATATGGACCAATTGGAAGCAGTATGATGCTACATGTTGGGTATAAAGTTGCCTGGACTTGCTGTGCCTGGTGTTGATAAGGTAGCAGATGGTCTAATAGACTTCATCATTGAGCAGCTAAATTGGTAAGGTCTTAGTTTAATAATCTTGTGTTCTAATGATTTAGGCGAGCGATGAAAGGCAAGGCAATTACTTGTACTTGTAATAATGCCCAGTTGGCCTGGATGGAAGGGACACTCACTCATACATAGTGTGATGTAATTAACTCCCATTCCCCAGAAACATGGCTGCATGGCTGTTTGTAGACAGGCTACCTTGATAATATACATCTCACCTTGATACTAAAACTTAAAAGCATTTTCCAAGTCAAAAATGACTCTTAATTACTTAAATCACTCAAGGAAAGAAAATTTAACTTTTTCTATTTTTATATTTCCAAAGCATGAGTATGATGTTATTGGATTCTCAAATATGTTGCTGGGGAATAAAAAGTACTTCAGTGATATGAAATATTTACAGATGAGATAGTCATTCAGTGGCTTGCCCGAGCCACAGAAAATATCTGGAAGGCAATTAAAATCTAGATATTTCAAAGCCTGGGTCTGCAATCTTTCCCCCATCTTGTTCTCTTTAGACTCATTTTACCCAATACTTCCTCCCTGTCTCTTTGCAGGGCATCTCATCAAATCTATGGATTAAAATTTCGTCTTATAGTTTTCACTACTTGAATCTTTGCTAGAAACAAGTTGAATGGTAAGAATACAATGTAAGTAGTGATCATTACACTTTAATATTCCCCAAGATATGATGTAATTTGCACAGAATAGACTACTAATAAATACATTTTTAAATAACACTGATTCTTAAAAGATCAATTTACAAGATCAACATGCAAAAATCAATCCCATTTTAAAATACCAACAATGAACATGTGGAAAGCAAAATTTAAAACACAATACCATTTATAACCACTCCAAAAAAATGATATAAACTTAACAAAACAAGTATAAATATGAATGCTAAAAATTATAAAATATTGATGAAATAAATCACATAAGACCTAAATTCATGGAGAATATACTCTATTCATAATTGGAAGACTTAACATATTAGTGATGTCAGTTCTACCCAAACTGATATAGAGGTTTAACAAAATTCCTATTAAAATTCAAGCAAGTTCTGTTGCAGGTAGAACAAGCTTATTCTAAAATGTATATGGAAAAGAACAAACCATAGAATAGCCAAAAAAAATTCACAAAGAAAAATAAAACAGAAGGAATCACTCAACCAAATATTAAGGCATGCTATATACCTACAGTAATCAAGACTGTTTAATACTGGCAGAGAGATGGACGCATAGATCAATGGGACAGAGCAAAAAGTCAGAAAGAGACTAGAACCCACACAAATAGGCCAAAATTATTTTTCTCTCCCAAAACACAGACCAATTTAATGGAGAAGATTA